AGGATATTCGTGAAAATAAGTCTGATATCCGCACCGACAACCTACAGCCACACTCACCCACACCCACACCCACCCCCACACCCACACCCCACACCCCACACCCACACCCTGCTTCCTTTTTCATTCTAGGATTCAAACCACAGGATGATTTACGAGGAGTTCTATTTGAAATTGAGTGTTATACGAATGTGAAAAGTTGCCCATTTGCTGAAATAAGCAAAGAAAGTAATTTTGATGAGGAATGCGAAGTTTTATTTACGCCTGGTGCTACTTTTTCCGTTAACTGCATTGAATTAGACAAAACGAGTCAATTGTACAATGTAAAACTAAATTTATGTAACGAGCAAGAAATCGAAAAATGATTCTACAAGAAAAACATGTTTAAAGGTGATCGTTATATTGCTCCAGAATTATTTGACGCTATGGGAACCAGCACTATCATACGCGAGTGTTCAGATATAGATCAACTTTATGATTACATGATAAAATTATTTCCATCCGATAAATTAATTGAATTTAGTTATCTCAAAGGTATGGGCGCGAAAAATTTTACAAAAAAGAACTTTGTAGCATCGCTTGATTTCTTTAAAAGAAGTTTAGGTTTAAGACAGAAATTTTTTTCTTCAAATGATAGAGAAATTGCCGAACTGCATGGTTCAATTGCTGAATCCTACTATCGATTAACAAATTATAATGAAGCCATTGACTTTTATCATAAAGCCCTTGATTTCAATTCATTACCTACACCGAAAACTATTATGGCTCATTTCTATTTGGGATTTTCATATTTAATAAGAGCCAATTGGAATAATTTCGATGATTTGTCATCAGCAAAATATCATCTTCAAACAGCATTAGATATCAATTTAGAATATGAAATGCTACGCGATGAAATGATCACAGATATCTACCAAGCATTGACTGATGTTAATGAATATCAACATGAATTGGATTCAGCAATGGATGGTCATATCGAAGCTGTTGAGATATGCGAAAGAAAATCAAATTTAAGCTATCAATTGGAAACAAGCCAACATAAATTCTTAATGAAGAATACTAGGCGCTGTGAAAATGACAGCGACTGATGTCGACTAGTATTCATCCTCCTAATAATTCCAAATTATTTATTGATAGCCAGCAAAACTGATAATTTTGTTTTTCGAATGTTTTGCTATAAAATTCTAAAGAGATATTAAAATTTAAACTTTCTACTTTAGTTCATAACTTTTGTTCAAGCAATTCCATTTAGAGCATTATTAGCCAAATTTGTTTGGATGCAACAAAAAGTCCTACATCCGTCAAGTCTGGCTGCCTTGGAACCTTTCTCCAGTCTAAAGATTCTTGCACAATCCCAGAAGAAGACAAGTTCAATTTGCTAATCTTCACTCGTACTTTTATGCAATCGACTAGGGGTGTCACTTTTGCGTTCCGTTCCTAGGAGCGGGGAACGCAATGGCGCCCAATTCCTGAGGGTGTGGGTGTGAATGTGGGTGTGCGCGTGCGTGTGGGTGTGGGGTGTTGGTGGGTCTGAATGGAAAGAGTATCTACATCCACACCCTCAAACACTGAATAGAAAAAGTTTCAATGCATATGCTTTTCTATATCTACAATAGTGTTGACGATGAACAACCAAATCTGGTGTGTCATACTCCAGAAAGCAGCTATTTGATGGTAAATGTTACTGGTGTTATTCTTTCCACCCTAAACCAACTCTCCGTGCTCTTTGTGACCAATGCATGAGTTTCGGCATTGGATTTGTTTCAGCTCCAACATCAATCACAATAAGTGATATTAACGTGGGCTCCCACTTCAAGATTGAAGTCAATTGACGACGATATAGCACAGCAAAATAGGTCGGAAGTGAGTGCCATGTGTCATTTTTTCTGCGCATCAACACTTATCTTCCTCTTACTCATGGAGATCACGACAGAACTTTTAGTAAGTTGGAAGAAAAAAGTTCTTCAAAAAAAACTTACCAATATCTCTTCTATAAATATCACTACTTTTTAAAAAATCTACGCATAAATCACTTTCTGACATCGACGCTATGGCTGCTTATCTGCAACACAATGAAATCGGTTTACGTGACACAAGTGTCACAGCGTCAGTGCCCGGCAATGATGTAGCTCGGCTCATGTACTATTTTGATTGCGTCTGCAGTGCGATCCAATACAATGATTCTGATGTTCAACGTTATCGTAACTATCAAAACTGGTCATCATTGTCCATCGAGGGAGTCCGTGTATTGTACGCTCTTTGCTCGACTTTAAGTCCAGATGTGTTCAATAACAAAATATTCTTTCAATCAGATGCCATGTGCAAAAACTTCGGTAACTGCTTTTATGAAATTAGTCAAGTTCGGCATCAATTCTTAGCCGTTCAATCGATTGTTGTAGCAGGTCGCACACGTCAAGTGAATAAAATCATGACTTATAAAACTGAATGGATGCAACGAAATTACTATGGTCCAGTCCAACGGATCCGTCAACGTTTGAGCTCACAACGATCGACTCGAACATCGACCTGCGTTATATCATGAGAAATAAGAACTTGCCTTATTTTTGGCATTGAATAAATCAAGCTAGAAACTCAGTCAGTTTTAGGAAATGTGGTCCGAAATCTTGTCTACAATGCTGAACAATATATCAGGGTGTGAGTATATTTGAAGAGAAGACTCACACCCACACCCTCCAGCTAGTGCTGCCACCTCGATTCGATATCGTTTCAGCTGATGAATAATAAGTTCACGTTTAATAGCACCAGAGCACAAGCTAACATTCTATGATCCAAAAAGTGTTACTCTAGTTATACTAACAATTTTTGTTTGATTCTTTTCTGTAGTCAGATATTGTTTAATGTCCTGTACAGGTGATTGGCTCGAGAATGTGGCACAGTGGCTCCTGTACCCCAAATGACGGTCTCCCAGCACCGTATGCAGCGCTGAGCCCCCTACGAGCGCATAAGCACTCCCCAATAGAGTGCAAAATGAATGAGAATCCAGTTATCATAATATGTGAACATGCAAAATAATAATCTACTGTAAATTGCTCAAGTTATTCGAAACTATAGACATCTTCGTAACAAGATAATAACTCTTAAATATCTTTATAGATGTTACCAGTGAAACGACATAATTTCGGTTAACATAACCGATCTGATGGTATCTGATGATATTGCATTGTAGAAATATTATCATGACGTTTTTTAATAAACCATCAAATATCGATCATATTTGAAGCATTTGTTGGTTTCCTGTAGTATTCAAATGGTGCATTGCGTCGGCAATAGAAAAAAATAGTGAGTGAAATCCCAATGAATAAATCAAGCGTTCTCATGAAAAACTTCGTTCGACAAGATCAATTGTCTTTTCCAACAATAGTCACTTTCGGATCCATTCGCAAAATACGATCCGACGGATGAATTTTACAGAGAATATTATGAAATATTTCCCTAAAAAGGTGATGAACAATTACTTAAGCTTGCTTCAAAAGGCATTTTAATTGAAGGTGAAAAATTAGACAATAAAGCGCGTAGCTTATCTTTGCTATACGCATCTGAAGTATATCTTGGATGTTTATTTGCTATCTTTTGTCAACTAGCTATTTCGACATTACATGACTGCGCACATCAAATAAACTGATGAAAAAAAAACTTGTTGAGCAAATTTTGATACTCTGTAGACCTTTTATAACAAATGCCTAGCTAGAAACTATGATCACAGAAAAGAGACCTACTGCTCATGCAATAGGATCACCTTGAGGCTCGGTCCGGGGTCCCAACTCCGAAACTATGTAAGATATGTGCTATGCCGGCATTGATTGTGTCGTGACCGATCAAGATCATCAGTCATGTATCGTCCGGCGACTAGAGCGACTCAGCATACCACGTGGTATTATGTTATCTCTGTCATTTTCGACCTTATTTACTTCTGCAAACGTCAACAATCACTTTGAATGATATTCCAAATTCTATCAATTGTATTCTTTTCAGTTATCATTGCAGCAGAACTGCAAATCGTTCGTAAGTGATCCTAGCCGTTTGCAGTCAATAAATTTTTTTCCTGTTCTGTTACTTGCATGTGAAATACTCTCTAAAGTGCAGACTCATAATGACTAACGAGGAAAAAAAGACTGAAAAAATGCTATACAAAGAACAAAGAAAACAAAACAAAACTGGTAGTAAGATGATAGCATCAAGCCGACATAATGACTTGGGTGTGGGTGGAATCAAGGAGGAAAAAGCGGATCCCGAGATGTCGATGGATCCCGCAAGGGAGAAAAAGCAGATCCCGGTGGATCCCATCGGATTCAGGGATTCAATGGGATTCGGGTGTGGGTGAAGATAACATCCAATCCCACACCCACACCCATCAACGCCCCACGCCCATGCATACCTTTCACAGATATATTTTTGACTCATGGCAATGACTCATTTTTAAAAACTTATCTTTGTAGAACTATCTGGAAGATGTGGGTGTGTTTATTAGAAGAAATTCACTACGAGCAGTGTCGCCCTTGCTTAGAATATGGATATATGTGTATCAAACAGACCATGACACGCTTTGACCTTGCTTGAGTGTAGATACTCTTTCCATTCAGACCCACCCACATCCTGTATCATCATATTTAAAATTATCGCAAACGATCGTAAATAGCGATTACTCGTTCGATTAGTAATAGCGTATGACATGATGATACTTGGCGGAAATAAGATTTTACTTAAAAAACAGCAAGTCACAATTATTTTTACAATCGCTCATGATCGTAACTCTTTTACTTGGGCTAAGTTTATATCAAATAGAAAGATTTGTCTTTACTCTTGGTGCAAAATGATAAATCTGCAAGATTTCTTCATCAAATGCTTGAAGTTACGAAAACTCTTTGGCAATGAAGAACAAGTGAATATTCAATTTGAATGCAATGGAAATTTAAAAGGCAACAAAAATATGAATTGAAAGCAATCTACGTGTTTCTTATCGTTGTATCAACTAATGTGATTGCCATCATAAAAATAAATGAATATACAATTCTTTGATTGACGACATATTTGCTGATAATAGAACACGTGCTGACTGGAATTAATACTTGTTTTTTCCCCTAAAAAGGATATGTTACACAATTGGTTTAGATACGTTGATGTTAGAGTCCCAGACATTGACAGGAAATCAATGATTGCTGATCAGCATGGTTAGTAGTTTTCCACAATCTTTCTTAAAGCGAATCCCGTATCGATCACTGAGATATGCAAAAAATTGGTTGGCACTATCAGAGAAGTTTCAATCGAAAGAACGACTAATGAGAAATTCTCAAGCATTAGTAATGCTCATTATAGTTCAAGTGAAAGAGTTTCAATTATAAGTGAGTATTTCATTCTGAAGAAATATAAATGTATAAATATTTGTATAAATGCTTTAGATTGATTATTAGGAGCAACTGGTGCATTAAAGTCGATAGTAATGAATAATAATTACAAGGAAATTCGAAGTAAAGCTTTGGAAGAATATTCTTAAATAAAAATAGAAAGGAAATCTTGTTGACAATGATTATTGTTGTCCATAGAAATTTTCTTTTAAAGAATATTTTTAAGATTGATGATTTGGCAAAAAGCTGTGAGTGTAGTTGTGCGGAAACAAATGCGTTTTCATTACACTGGCGCTCTCACATACAAACCTAGACTCACACGCACTGCTTTCTTGCCATTATTTGAATCAGATTTGATAAGAATTGGGCTGTTTGCTAGCATG